CTGGCTTGCTACAGAGATAAAAGCTCTACTTTTTCCTTCAGATTAGGTCAACTAACGAATCTAAATGGCCACTAGTCACAGGAGTATTTGGGGTGAGGTGTGAAAGCATATCAGGGTGCTATAGGTGAAATATATATATTTCTCCTGGCAAGTCCTCATCTCTGAGCACAACGTGAGTGATAGGCTGTGTCTGCAGGGCAATAGGAAAATCGTGGGATTTGAACACTGCCTTTATAAATTCATGGGGTTTTTTTCTTTTTGGGTTATCCATGATGGTGCTCAGGGTTTACTCCTGGCTCCGCACTCAGGGATCACTCCTGGCATGGTTCAGGGGGCCTTGTGGGGTGCCAGGAACTGAGCCCAGGTTGGCAATGTGCAAGGCAAGCCAAGCCCCTGACCTGCTGTCTCTCCAGCCCCTAAACTCACCTTCCAAATAGCAAATTTCCCTACCTGCCATGTAGCCCAGTATGGTTTAATGCTTTCTCAGTAATAGGACTATTTTTTTTTCTACCTTTGGGAAAAGGATTTTCTAGATCAGCAGGTTTTCTTTTTAAAAATATTTTTCCTCCATTGAGCCTGGTCCCTTTCAAGTGACTGTAGTGACAGTTTCAGCGCTTGTGTCATGTGCACAGTGCAGCCTGCAGGAGTTCCTCGCTGCCAGCTGCTTCATCTTTTGTGTGAGCAACCCCCCACATCAAGGGCCAGAGCCTGTGCAGCAATGACACTGCAGCCAGAAATGCTCCATTGCATCCCTGAGAAGTGCACCCACCCTGCCCTGATCGGTGTGAGATAGATCGTTCCAGGATGCTGTTATAAGATGTATATACTAAGTGACCTTAAAAAAGAAACCAGCTTCTCACCATGCAGGGTCTGGAAAGAGCAGATTCATGGTGCTGCACACCTGATGTGGTGGCCAGCAGTACACACTCCCTGCTTCATAGACAGATATTCTCAGGGTACTGTTATATTCCCCATAGCTCCACCCTTGTGAACTAATCACCTGTCCTACCCCATCCCCTCCTAACAGCCTCCACTGGGCACCAATGCAGGGATGGGGACGGACATAAGATGACTGCTCAGCTGAAGGATGTGGGTTGCTTTAATCAGAGCTCTGCCCTCTGTGGCATGAGGGTAACATCCAGAGCAGGAAGCCTATCACTTGAGGCTTTTGCATGTGGCAACCTGAAACAAGTCATAGCATAGAGAAGGGTCAAGCTTCAGCTCACTGCTAAGACCTTAGGTACAGGGACCCAAACACTCTGTGACTTCTAGATCCCACATTGGAAGTCCTTGTGACCAGACTGTGAATCAGCAGGCCCACCCCCTCCCTGGTCTAGTAGGCCAAAGAACCGAGTCATCTGCATGGGCACAGGAGAACAAGGAAACCGGTCCCCACAAGCAGCCAGCTGCCACCATGTCTGCTAGATCAAAGAAGCAGGGACGGGAGAGCAGATGGGTACCTTCTCTCGAGCGGGCCCAGTAACGTCTCCATTGGAGATTTTGTTGTTACTGTGTTTGGCATATCGAATACATCACGGGTGGCTTGCCAGGCTCTGCCATGTGGGCGAGATACTCTCGGTAACTTGCCGGGCTCTCAGAGAGGGGTGGAGGAATCGAACTCGGGTTGGCCATGTTGGCTGTGTGCAAGGCAAACGCCCTACCGCTGTGCTATCGCTCCTAGTCCAGGAAAATCATTCAGGAGTCAGGGCGACAGTGAAGTCAATGAATCCTCCTCCTCCACATGGACACAGCATCAATGTTCCTCAGGTTGACATGGTTTAGTGGGGTCAGGGGAGGGTCCTAATGTCTGATTCCCAGGGCCACATGGCACTCCCAACAGCACTAAGTATGAGCCTGGAGGCCCAGACACTACTGGGTGTGCCCTGCAGCTGCATATCCTCAGGCCCTCACAGTGACCACAGGCCTTGTTGACTGAGGACTGCCACAAGGGGTCTCCAGGCTTCCTGAGTACTGCTTGGAACACTACTCCCCACAAAAAAATAAATAGATAGTTTAGAATGTAAACAGCTAATGCCCCATGAATGACAACTGGAAGTCCCTGTCAGAACCACCATATCTTTGCCCCTCACTCCCATATAATGGGGCACAGCTGCTGGGCTGGGGAAAAGCATCTCTCTCGGACGTTTCAGTCTTTCAGATTGTATGAAGGTTCAAGTTCTCACTCTAGGGGCTGCTAGAGTGATAGCACAGCAGGTAAGGCCTTGCAATGGCCAACCCTGGTTCACTCCCCAGCACCCCATAAGAACACACAAGTCCCTCCAAGAGTGACCCCTGAGCACAGAGCCAGGAGTCATCTCTGTGCACCACCAGGCGTGGCAAAAAAACAAAAGCAAAAGTATCATTCTAACAATCTCTAATGAAGTTAACTCTTCATCTGCTTCTCAGTGAGGCCTTTTCCCTGGACATCACCCAAACCAGGTGTGGACCTAAGGAGCAGCGGTGAGGAGAGACATGTGGGGCAAGGCTCACTTGAGGAATTTGGAAGCAAAAATCAAGTTTATTCCTACTTTATCCTCTATTTCTTGGAGCATCTGTAAAACATGGATGATTTCCCTATAGCATGGGATGGGCTCCAGTGTTCAGGGAGATGACATTTAGGAAGCAGCTTCAAACACCACCAGGCATGAGACAAACACAACTTAATGTGACTCATCTTGCTTTACCAAGTCAACCTCTCCCCTTCTGCTCAAAGGGCAGGAAGAATCATCCTCTCCTGTTCCTGCCAGGGCCAGGCCCTTCCAGAACTCCTCTGAGGTCCTCCTGAGCCCGCCAGCCTTTTGTAGCTGGTAAGTTTACCACATGAGGGTGGAGGGACCTAGAGAGAGGCTTCCAGAAAACCTTTCTTGATTAACACACACACACACACACACGCACACACACACGCACACATACATACACATACACAGAGCCTGGGCTTTGCCCCACCTGTGGTATAGTCCCCAAACCTTAGACTCACTCTCAGTCCTCCATCTTTAACCCACCCACTCTTCTCCCCTCATTTGCTATTTTTCTGCATCTGGCATTTAGTCTCCCATCGATCGACTGCAGCTTTTGTTTGCCATGTGTCCCAGATCACATCTCTCTGTCTGTCCCCCAACACTGACTCCTAGCACTGGACTGGATCTGGGGAAGAAAACACTTTAGAGAAGAGTCTGGATTTCAGCACAGCTGACCTTAACCAAGTCTCTTCCGGTGTCTGGAGGACACCAGCTGTGGCAGACACTGGCTGCCCTGCGCCTGATACCCAGCTGGAACCAGAGCAGAAACTCCCTCTGTCTGGATTTGCATCTATACCTGAAGGTTTTGGACACGCAACTGCTCCCATATTTCAGGATAGGAGAGAAGAGGAGCAGCAGGCCAAGACCCAGCTGCTGAGTGTGGAGATGTGGACCTGGTTCCTCTCCCACCAGGCTTTGTCTTGTCTCCCTGGCTATGCCTCCACTCTCTCCTCTCACCAGGACAGGTGTTATGAACCAAACTGCTACCTGTTCATTTGAGGCAGGAGAGACTGAGATAGAATAATGACCAGCCTAAATAGGATCTAGTTGCTTGAGGAAGGAACCAGAAATCTTTGCCTCTCTTGGAAAAAAAAATTCCCTTGGGCAGACACAACAAACCTTAGTAACACCAACATTCTGTTGTTCCCTGAGCTTGGACGAGGACTGGGATTATTGTACCCTGTCCTTGAACATGTCAGTATCACCTCCCGCTTTTCATCTTTGTTCTGTTCCCATCTTTGATCAAGTTTTTCTTACAAACTCAAGGCAAGATTTGGAAGCTTGGTATATTTCTGCCAAGAGAGTTAATGAGTTGCAAATGCTGGGCACTAAGAAGAGAAAATGTTTACCTTATAAAAATCACACCCACTTGCTCTGTGACAATTTACAATTGCCCTGGCATCCCTCAGAAGCAGCTAAATATGGCTAGAATCTGGGTAGTGTTTTGACACACGGAAACCAACATCCCAACTTTCTCCATTTCTGAAATCCTATGTATTTTCTGCCTTTATTAATTTACCCTGTTTCTATACCTGTATAACCTAAAAATTCATATAGACACAATGCTGGTCTCTCTGGAGTATGACTGCACTGTTTCTCTGACTGCATTCTATCCCTTTTAATAAACTGCCTGTCTTAGAAACAATGTAGGTATTTATCATGTTTGCACTCCAAACGCAAAGTATACTTAGTTTTAACAAAATACTCTCTGTATTTTATTTCTCTGACTTACTCTTGAATTCTTTCCTGCCATAAAGTCAAGACCTTGGACTCCCATGCTAACCTTGATCAGTTTCTTCCTATAACGAGACCAGGCATGGGAGTAAAACCCGCCCCCCAGTTACTAATGAAAAGTCTGCCAGTGGGGTATGCCCTGGGCTTTGGGCCCAAGCCCTCCTGCTCTGCTGAGCAGGGTGCCTCTAGCTGTCAGCCACCAGACCTCTGAATTCTGGTCTTTCTCTTCCTGTCCAGAGGCCCCAGTAATGGAAACTTTGGTTCTCCTGGACCTCAAACCCTCTAGGCACTGGATTCAGGGACCATTTCAATAACATGCAAGGAAGCCATCATTCAAGCTCACACACTTTATTTCTCACACAGTCTGCCCAATAACCCTTTATAGCTTACTATCCCAGAAGACTCCCGGCAGGTCTTCTGCTGACATAGAACAGAGCGAAGTTCTCCGGTCCCAGGGAGAAAGGTGGGTCCCAGGATGAACCTGAGCCCTGTGCTGTCTGCAGGACCATCACAGGCTCTGTGTCAGGGCTGTGGGCTTCACTCAGAAGGCAGCTCAAGGGGTTATTCTTTGGCATTTGACCATGGCTAGTTGGCATTGCACAAATATGGGCGCTCCACCTTCAGATCTGCCCCTCAGAAACCTCACCCCAGAAGACATACCCACAGGGACCCAACCGGGCACCCTGGGCTCTGGGCATGAGCTTCACTGCTCCTGGTCTCTCTGTCCACAGTGCCGCACCAGGTTTTTGAGGTGGGGTCAGCTTCTGTGTCCTTCCCAACTCTGTAACAGGGTTGTGCCCCCCACAGGAAGATGACTAACTTGTGTGGGAAACAACAGACCCTGTCCACCCGGAGGAGACGCCCAAGGCTGCTATTTCCATGACCCCAGGAAAGGAGGCAGGCTGGGGGCGAGGGCTGCTGAGAGTTGCTGGGGTCAAGTTTATCTGAGGGCGAGGGTAGGTTAGCAACTGCCTGCCGCTAGCAGGATTTATCTTCTTTCCCCGACAATGCCTCGGTCCCCAGGTTTCTGGGGCCACGTGGGCGCTCGGCTCAGCTGGCCACTCTGCCAGAGAATCTGGAACAACGTCTCAGCCCCCTCCTGGGCTTGCTTCTTCCCCTCCCTCGCCTCCGTCCTGCAGAGCCACTACTCCTCCTGGAGCAGGGGCTCCCGGTCCCCTTCCTGTCCCCTCTCGTCCTCCTCTTTCTCCATGCAGCCCACCGTGGCCGCCAGCCCCGCGCCCACCCCTCCCCCGACCACCGCGGCGCCCGTGGCCCCGACGGCCGCGCCCGCCGCCACCATGCCCGCCTCGGCAGCCAGCGCGGCCGCGGCCATGCCCGCCCCCACCACGCCGCCCGCCAGCCCCATGAGCCCCGCCCCCACGGCGCCCCCCACGGCGGCCAGGTGGCCGCAGAAGCGCACGGTGTACGAGTCCATGAAGAGCCTGGCCTCGGCCTGCAGCTCGGCGTCCAGCGCGGCCAGCGTCCGCTCGCGCTCACACTCCGGGCCCCGCAGGCAAGCACCGTGGCGGGCCAGCAGCGCGTCCTTCTGGGTGCCCAGCAGGGCTCGCATGGTGTCGGGCAGCACGCGCAGCGCCGAGAAGAGGCGCTTGGTGGCCATGTCCTGCGGCAGGGAGGGAAGCAGGGCTCTGGCCAGGAGACCGGCGCCCGCGGCCGCCCCCGGCTCAGCCCCAGGCTCACCTGCTGCCATACGAAATCCTCAAACTCCCTCTTGGCAGCTTCCATGGTCCTCAGGTCGTGCAGCTGTGCGGCCATCTGTCCGGTGGGAAGCCAGGCTGCTGCCCTCGGGCCTCCAGGGCACACTCACCCACCCGCTGCCTCCCTCAGCCCCCGGGGCCTTGGGGTGCTCCGAACCTCGTCTGGAGAGGTGACAGCCAGCCCGGTCCTCCCCATCCAGCCCGACAGGTTCTGCAGAAAAAGGGGAGAGGGTCAGGGAATAAGTGGGGGAAAGGGGGGGAGGCTGCAATCTGGGTCCCCGGGGGAATTGCCCACCTTGATCTCCTGGGCGAGCTGCTGCCCCGTTAGCAGGCGTCTGTCCCCCCGGGCCACAGGGCGCCCCTGGCTCCAGTACCCCTGGCAGCGGCTCTTGGCGTGCTGAGGGGCTGCACTCAGCACCTCAGCCACGTAGGCATGGAGGTGGTGGGACTCGTCATCTGTGTCTGAGGAAGAGATTCCTCATGCTGAGGAGGCTGGGGGCTGAGAGCCTTGGGAGGAGAGAGGGTGTCAGGCTGGGAGCAGCTGCCTCTTCAAGGGGGCTTCATTACGGGACAAGGCGAGCTGGGGCGGCCCTGGCTCGGGGGACACTCACCGCCCGGGCTCCCGGGGCCTCTGCTGGCCCAGCGCCCTGGAGCAGGCAAGAAGCAGCAGCGTGCCCGCCTCCCATGGAGCAGCTCCTGAACCCGGGGGTACTTGCTGGAGCATCGCTGAGACAAACAAGAGGACAGCTCAGTCTAGGGGACCCCGTTCCCCCGTTCTATAGAACCCCCTGTCTCCCTCTGCCCTGCCCCTGTCTCCCCACTCTGCTGTGCTCACCCTAATGATGTCGCCCACGTGCCCCCGCCCTGCCTTGCTGAGGGTGGAGGAGTCTGGAACTAAGAGATCCAAGTGCTGGAAGAGAAGGTGGGGGGGGGGGGGGTCCTCACACCAGCAGCCAGGGGTCACGGTGTCCAGGCCTGGGGAACACGAGTCTAGAAGCTTGACTCACCTGGACTGGAACTAGCCCATAATGCTTGCCCATCACCTCAGCCACGTGCACGAACATCTGAGGAGCAGAACAAAGAGAGTCGCGCCCAAGCCCCCCCCCCCAGGCCCCTCCCCACATCTCCCATGCTGCACCCATTTCTCACCCAGGTACCCTCAGTCTCACCCTCACCCAGCTTCCCAGTCCTGAAACCCCAGGCCAGAACGGGAAGGCACCAGTCCAACCAGGCCGAGCCTGCAAGGATGGCGCGGCCAGGAGCAGGCGCTGCCTCACCTCCAGATACTCCAGGTCTGCGTCCTTCAGCTCCTGTGAGCTGCTAAGGATCTGGAGGAGAGTGAGAGGAAAGAGGGTCCACAGGAGCCAGGAGAGAGCTCGGGGGGTCTGTGGGGTTCTGTCCCAGGAGATCCCACCTGAAGCCTCCCCAGCTAGTTTACAGGAGTGGCAGCAGGACAAGAGGTGACCCTACAGACCCCCAGGCTCACCCAGAGATCCTTAACTCACCTTTGGAACAGACCGTGTCTCCTTCACCACTGGGAGCCTTTCCCCTTAGCAGGCACCTTCCCCTCCCCCCCTCACCCCCCGCGCCTGGACACAGCAGCCTGTGAGAGCAGGGCCTCCTGGTACAGAGAGTTGGACAGCAGGAGGGAGTGCAAGGAAGGGAAGGTGCAGGGGGAGTCACTAAGGGAGGGGCATGGGGGGACGTGAGGGGCAGGGGTGCAGAGGGAGGTGGGTACAGGGGCCGGCACATGGGATGGGGTTCACCTGGTAAGAACTCAGCATTGTGGTAAGAGCGCAGAGCTTGGTCCTGGTTTCCTTGCTCAGTTCCAGGCTCATCGCATCCCCCATGTCCACCAAGAAGACAGCCACCTGGGGGTGGGGGGAAGTGAGAGAAATCAGGCTGCCTCCCCTGCCCTGTGCTCCCCAGCCTACCTGGGCTCCTGCCCTACACCACCCTTCACCCTCCCCTGCTCAGTGCCCACCTCGTTCCCTCCTCCTCCCCTCACCTTCCTTCCCTCCTTCCCCAGCAGGAAGGGCTGGCTCCACATCCAGATGCCCCTGCTGAGGCTGCTGGCCCCCCACCTGGCACCGGGCAGGGGGACTCCACTTCTGGGCCCGCCACCTTCGCCGCCACACTCCTGTGGAGAAGGAGAGCAGCGGGTCTGTCCAGTTCCCTGAGGGACCTCGGCCACCCACCCCCCATGCCCGGGCCTCACCAGGCCCTGGAGGCCCTGAAGCAGGTGCTGGAGCAGGAAGTTCTTCCTGGACTGCTGCTCCCCGAGCACTGCCAGGAGACAGACGGGGGTGTCCCTGGCCAGGGGGTGCTTCAGGCAGCGGTTGATGGCCCCCATCCTCAGGATGAGGCCGCCAGAGGCGTTGATCCGCACCAGGAGTAGCGGCTCAGCCCTCACAGTGCAGGTCTCCTGGGCAGGAGAGAATGGGGGTTCCCTGGGGCTCAAGGGGTGGGGGGCGTGCGACACCCGAGCCGCCTCACATGTGCGCGCGCGCGCACACACACTCCTCCGATGGGCGAGTCCTAACCTGCGGCGCCGGGGGCGCGGGTCTGCGACGCAGCAGCCGCATCTTCTCCCCCAGGCCCCGCAGCCCCTTCCGGCGCCCGCACACCTCGCGGCACTCGGGGCAGCAGGGCCGCGCGCAGCCGGGAACCCGGTGGGTGCTGAAGCAGCGCGGGCAGAAGTCGTGACCGCAGTCCAGCGAGATGGGCTCCCGCGGCCGCTCCAGGCAGATGGAGCAGGCAGGCAGCTCCCGAGCCCGGGGCGCGGCGGCTCGCGAGCCCAGCCCCAGCTCCAGCTTGGGGAACGGTGGGTGGGACCTGGGGGACAGAGGGACCGGACTGGACGGGGGGATTTGCTCACCCCTCACTGTCTCACACCCCAGAACCGGCGGGGCCCCGCATGCAAAGAGCCCTGGCTGCACCCCCTTAACCTCGTCAGTGCATGGACTCCAATTCTCTAAAGGGCCACTAGCACCAGCCCTGAGGGCCCAATGGGGAGGTCTGTGTCATACGAATCTTCCCACTGTCTCTGACTCTGACTTGGCTGGACCCCATAGAGGGTCCCTTCCACCACCCTCAGCATAAGCATGGGAGGGTTCTAAGGGGGTTCCCGGGCAGGCAGGGCAGGTGGCTCCGGTTCTTAGGAGACAACTTGCCACTGATGCTGGGGTCCTCCCTCCAGACCCCAGGCCCCCCCATCCAGCCTTGCCCATCACTGGGCAGTGCCCGGCGCCTCCCAGGGACAGGCAGCTACTCACCAACTGTTGCTGCTGTTTCCCATGAAGCTTCGTTTTCTCTCCTTGGAGAGAAAATTGCAGGAGAAACAACAGAAATGGCGTGTTTTACAAAAGAAACAATTAGAAGAGCACCCCAACTTCTCCCTTCCTCCTGAGATTTCGGGGGCACCCTGTCTCTCTGCAGAGGCCCCATCCTGCCTGGCATCCCCACCCCCACCCACCAGAGGTCTGACCCAGGACTTGCCTGTTTGCCAAGCCGGTGACAAAAGGAAATGATTGACAAGGCAGACCTCGGCATGGGCTGCTGGCAGTGGGGAGCCGGTCCCCCAACACTGAGAGCATAGGCCGGAGAGCCAGCAGGAGGATGGCTGCTCTGCTGCAAGGACCAGGCTGCGGCAGGTGGGGCGGGGGTGCCCCAGAGGAGCAGACCCTGGAGGAGAGGAGCTGGTAGATCAATGTGCCTGTCTGAAAGAAGAGGCTGGAGGGGTGGAGACGGCTGCGGACAGCAGGGCGGGCGGGAGCGGCTCCGGATCCCAGTCCCCGCACTGACTGGATGCAGGCAAGCTGAGGGGGTGAGTCGCCATGGAGACGGAGATGAGACAGAGATGTAGTGAGGAAAGATGAGGACGAGAGGGGGAGGGGAGAAGCATATGGGTTCTCAGATGGCACCAAGGCAGGGACAGCCCTGCCAGGGCCCCAGGCAGGGGTAAAAGGAAGCAAACACAGCATGAGGGGCTGAGCGAGCCCCCTGCCCCCCACCATTCACCAGTGCCCTTTCACAGAGCATCACTGTGGCCAGAGCCCCCCCATGCCACCCAGTGCAGCCCCCCCCCATGATTATCTCCTTAGTTCTAAATCTCAGCACCCTGCCTGACCCCCACCCCTACCCACAGTTTCCGGGCCTGGCTATCTGTCCCCTGAGTCTTGTCTTCTCCTTCTGAGACTCTCACCCTCCCCCAAACTTGCAGAAGGAACCTCTCTGAACCTTCCAACTGGTCCTGGACTCAGCCTCCCATCTGCTGCCCAGAACACAGGCAGCAGGACACCTCCAGCCCAGCCCACCTCTCACTGTTCAAATGCCTAGAACAGCTTCCTACCATCACATCTGGCCCTCCTGCCCTGCCTATGCCTTCAGGGGGGCTTCTGGGGACCCCACCCTCACAACCCACTATACCACCCTTCTTGTCTCCCTGCTGGGTGTATCTCTCCCACTCTCTGGTACCTGCCTGGAATCTGGCTGATGCAGGTTTGAGTCCCAGTCAGCTTGGTGTGCCCTATCACTGAATATTCCAAGGCTCTTTCTTGGTCCAGATAGTTATTCTGAAGCCGCAGATAGTTATTATAACACACAGGAGGTGGGGGACTTGGAGGTCATTCACAGAAGAAGCTCAGTGAGCACCAAGAAGCTAGGGGACTCAAAGGAGAGGGTTTGGCCCCAGCAGGGCAGTGGGTAGAATCAGTAGAAATTAGGGGTGCTGTTGTGATTCATAGTGCTGGCTGCAAAAGGAAATGGCAGAACCCCATCAAGCCAGGAAAGCCAATGTCCCCTCCCCATGTCCCCACCTCCCACTTCCCCAGCACAACCCCCACCCCCACCACCACACACACACACACAGCTGATGGATCCCAGGGAACCACCTCTGAGTCAGGATGTCCTCCTGCCCAGGATTTGGGCCGAACAAGCACCTCCAGCATTTCAGTTCCTAGAAGAGTCTACAGCTCCCCTTTCCCACCCCATGATATCAAGGGCCAACCCAGTAGTCTCCAATCCTCCTTGAACCCACATACAGAGCTTCAAGTGGGGGTAGAGGTTGGTGACTAGGCAGCCAGAACCTGTGCCTGAGGCAGCTCAGCCTAGCAGGAGCAAGTGCCCCACCCAACTGCACACATGTGTACACACATACACACACACACACACACACACACACACACACACAGACTCCATTCCCCAGGCTTCATTGATGAGACCCCAGTGAAACACTGAAATGACAGGGTCCCCAACAGTGTCCCAGAGCCCTGGTTTCCTCAAAGCTGCCCCATTCTTCCAAAAGTTGGAAGCCAGAGCTGGAGGCCACCATTCTTGCTGCGTGGCCTTGGGAAGGGAACCCACTTTTCTGTCCTCTGGCCAATCATTTGGTATTCAAGTTCTTTCTCTGAAAATGAGAACCATGCAGTGTTTAGATATAAGATTTCCTAGAAGGACCTCGGAAGGGCTCAGGAGATGCCCCAATGCCTGCCACTGTCCACAGCTCAGCTTATAGTAGGACCCACTCCTGACAGTCCCAGAGACCAGGAAAGGCCTAGACAGGGCGCAACAGCCTTCCTGCCCAGGAAGAGATTTCCTTCCTGCCCAGAATAGTCACCCTCTGAAACCCACTGTTCAGTCCTTTGCCCAAATCTGACCCTCTGTCTTCAGGTCCCAAAGCTGACAGTTCTCAGCACCTGCTTCCTGCCTCTTCCTCCTTGTGGGACCAGGTATCTGGTGCCCAGTGCTGGTCACTGACTGCCTTGACCTTGGGCTCCAACTTCTGAGTCCACAAGAAGTGAGGGACTGGAGTCATTTTTGGAATAACCAGATACAGGAAGGAAAAATATAGTCTCCTAGACATCTCAGAAAAATTAAAAATAGAACGACCATATGATCCAGCAGTTCTACTCCTAGGTATTCTATCCCAAGTACACAAACTCTCATTTGAAAATATATATGCATGGCTATGTTCATTGCTAGCACTAGTCAAAATTACCAAGATCTGGAATCAATTCAAGTGCATATCAGGTGAGTGAATAAAAAGTTTTGGTCTGGGGTTGGAGAGATAGTACAGTGCACAGAGTTGCCTTACATCTGGCTTGTTGAGGTTCAATCCCCGGCACCCCAAATAGTTCTCTGTGCACCACTATAAGTGATATCTGAGTGCAGAGCCAGGAGTAAGCCCTGAGCACACTGGAGATAGAAAGAATGAAAGAAAGAGGGAGAAAAGGAGGAAGAGAGAGAAGGAGAGAGCTGTGGTCTGGATTCACAATGGAATACCACTCAATACTAAAAAAAGATGAAACCTTTTTGCTACAACTTAAATGGAACTGGAGGTCATGGTAGACAAAATAAGCCAGAAGGAGAAAGACAAGTACCAGAGGATCTTACCAGAGGAATACAAAGCAACAAAACAAGGGAACAGAAAACAGCCAATGGAGGCAAATCTTAGACTCTGACATCAGAATTGAGTTCACCATGCAGAGGTGGAAGGAAGGGAGATGGGAAGGGATTTTTGGATAGTGTGTATGTGCATAGGCGGGGACAGGGAGGTGCAGGAGGGGGACAGGATACTGGTAGGTGTCAGGTTATAAGGTTGTAACATACCCCTAAAAAATGAATATTCTTGTAAACCTCTGTGACTTCAATTAAAAAAGCAACAAAGACCATGAAAGAAAGTCTCCCAAACTAGAACCCTATTTGAGGAAGTTTCTAGATCTCATGCTTCAGTTCAGAGACTCTACCCATCCAGAATAACATACATGTGCACTCATACTCTGCACATACAATCACACATGCACTCATTCCACCACCCCTACCAGACCTGGCATGTAAATTTTCATTTACATGACCGGAACTCTCCCCACCCTGCCTGCTCCCCTGTACCACTCTCCTTGTCCACAGAGACCCACAAACACACATACATGGGTGCATGGACCCATACAACCTCACTAACTCAGTTACCCATGCACCTTCACACATGATCACATGTTCTCAGATGAACATGCACAGTTTCTCCAAAGGTTCACACACACACTTCACAGACTTACCCCAAGGGCTGGCCCAGCCCCAGATATCCATGTACTCTCCCTCAACAATACATCCTTAGGGGTCCTATATGGTCCCATTTTACAGATAAGGAAACTGAAGTCAGACAGGCAAAATCCTCATTGGTTCAAGGCCGAACTTCTAATAGCAGAGTTAGAAGCCCAACCCAGACCATCAGGCTCCAAACCTAAGCTTTTGCCCACTATGTTCCTTGGTTTTGGAGGGAGCAGAAATCCTGTTAATGCCATGTATTAGTCTGGGAGAAAAGTCTTTATCTTGCTCTTTGCATTCACTTGCCTCTGGGGTATGAAGTGTGCAGAGGGAATAATCAGCCTAGCCCCAGCCTATGGGAGTATTATGAGCAGACAACTGAGTTCTGGATGGTTCTAACCACTTTTGGTTCTGTGAGCTTCAGCAAGTCACTGATGATCTCTGGGCCTCAAATAGCTCCAGACCTCTTCTGCTTCTCTGCGTCACCCCCCTTTCCACTCCCATGCCAACCACTCAGGAAACAGAAGGCTGCATTTTCTGGTCCCAGGGGAGAAGACTCATGAGGTTCCCACCTCTGGCCCGGGCCTGCCCAACCCTGTTAATGAAAAGCAGCACCTAGGCAGGAAGTGGGCAGACAACCACTGACCAGGGCTGATGGTGCAGGCCAGGCTTCTGCAGATAGACCTGCTCTCACTAGCTGCCGGAGCTGCCCTTCAGCAACCAAACAGACCAGTAAGCTTGTGGGGAGCAGCAGCGCCTGACAGCCCTTGTTTCCAATGCCAGTTTCACCCAGTTACTTGCACCCTGCCTCTTCCCTCACCCAACTTTATTTTCCTTAGCTATAAAATGGAAGGTAAGAACTCTTGTGCAGGCTGCTCTGGCACTCAAAGTGCAGCTAGTGCTCAGTCAATGCTGATAAATGTTTGTCAGCCTTAGAGGGAATCCTAGGACTCGTGGCTCAGGGCCCAGACCTCCCCACACAGCATCCTGGTTTTCAGCCTCTTCCATAGCCTCCTCCTTCTGCACCAAGTAAGAGGGTAAGAGGAGCTGGAGTGATAGTACAGCGGGAAGGGCATTTGCCTTGCATGAGGCTAACCCAGTTTTGACTCTTGGCATCCTATAAGGTCCCTCAAGCACCGCTAGGAGAAATTCCTGAGTGCAGAGCCAGGAATAACCCATGAGCATCACAGGGTGTGGTCCAAAACAAAAAATAAATAAGAGGTCCAGACCAGCAGAGAAGTAGCAAGGGGTTAAGACACTTGCTTTAGGCTGTTGACTATAGGCAGTTCAATCCCTGGCACCACATGTGGTCCCCCAAGCAACACCAGGAGTGATTCCTGAGTGCAAAGCCAGGAATAAGCTGAAAGTACCTCCAG